TCTCAGATTTGTTCATTTTGTAATGATATCTTTAATTCTCTAATTTTGGGGAATATTTTGTAATTTTTGGTAAAAAGTGATATTTTCGACTTTCTTGTTGAAAACCGCAAGTCCAAATTGCTTTGATATTACATATATAGGTACTACATGTGGACCTCTCTCAGATTTGTTCATTTTCTAATGATATCTTCTGTTCTTTAATTGCCACGTGCATTGCTAACAGCGGAGCTATCTCAGCCGACAGGCTGCTTGTTATGCCTCTTGTGAGATTTCGCAGTTGAGCGGAAAATCACCTATTGGAGTTTATGTATTGATGGCTTTAACACCATGCTGCATGCAAGAGTTGATGTTTGCATTTGCCCATTGATGTTTTGAAATAAACTACTGCCTGAACTGAAGTTTTTGACTCCCGTGTGCGAAGCACAAAAGGGAGTCTTTGCAGTTACCCTGTCTGTATGTCTGTCCGTCCGTCTGTATGTATGTATGTCACTTTTTTTGTTCCACCGTTATCTCAAGAACCACTAATCAAATTTTGGTGAAACTTGGTACATAGATGCTCTGGGATAATGCGCAGAGCTGATTAGGTTTTGGTAAAAATCTATGAATATTAATTACCTAATTTGCATGATAATTAGCTGATTTTTAGCTGTTCCAAGACTGTTCCACTGATATCTGAAGAACCACTCATTGGATTTTGATGAAACTTGGCACATGGATGTTCTGAACCTATATGCAGGTTTGATTAGTTTTGGGTAAAATCTATGAATATTAATTACCTAATTTGCATGATAATTAACTGATTTTAAGCTGTTTTATGACTGTTCCACTGATTTTTGAAGAACCACTCATTGGATTTCAATGAAACTTGGCACATGGATGCTCTGAACTAATGCGCAGATTTGATTAGTTTGGGGTAAAAATCTGTTAATATTATTAATTACCTAATTTACATAATGATTAATCAATTTTCGGCTTTTCCACTGATATCCCAAGTACTAATCATAACATTTCAATAAAACTTGGTACATAGATGTCATATGACACTGCACAGACCTGATAGTTTTTAGGCTAATGTCAGTACATATTAAGTACCTAATTTGCATAATTAATTAATTTTCAGCTTTTGATATTTCGAGTAGTAATGATCACGTTTTCAATGAAACTTGGTACATAGTTACTTGAGGACTGTGCAGAGACCTAATTAGTTTTTGGGTAAATATTTGTGCATATTAATCATCTTATTAGCATAATTAGTTGATTTTTCAGCTTTTCACGTGATATCTCAAGTACTAATCATCACATTTCAATGAGACTTGCGACATAGATATTCTAGGACTATGCAGAGACCTGATTAAATTTGGGATAAATAATTGTGTCTATTAATTACCTAATTTGCATAATTAGTTAATTTTTTTGCTGTTCTATGGCTGTTGCACTGATGTCTAAAAACCACTCATTGGATTTCAATGAAACTTTTAAAGAGTACCCATCGCATTTCAATGAACCTAAGACTATGCACCATATTAGTTTTTGGTAAATACTTATGCTTCTTAATCACCTAATTAACATAATTAATTAATACTGATATCTCAAGTATTGATCATCATATTTGAATAAAACTTGGTCCATAAATGCTCTAGGACAATAGACAGCCTGATTAATTTTGGGTTAAAATCTGTTAATTCTCTAATTAGCATAATAACTAATATTTGTTTGGTTCTAATCACATTTCAATGAAACTTGGTACATTGTGCAGACCTTATTAGTTTTACACTTAAATCTGTTCATATTAGTTACCTTATTTACATAATTAGTTTTCAGCTATTCCATCAATATCTCAAGTATAAGTCATTTTGAAATAATTTTTATGTGTCTTCAAAACTCTCAGCACACGGGAGTTCTTTCTAAGCTTTCTTTGATTTTCTTTTGATCCTTAATATCTTATTAGTCCCCGTTCGGACGAAGTCCGAAAACGGGGACTTATAAT